CCCTTAGTGTTTTGCCTTGGTGGAGCAGGATCAGATCAGGTGCAATTTCCACACTGCATCTCTGCTGCTGTCCCTCGCAGGGCCATGGGTCAGTGAGGGGTGTCATGTCTCATAGTGGGGCTGGCCATGTGGTCCTCTCTATGGACTGGCTGCTCTAATTAGGATCATTGTCCTCAAGGCCTGGTGGGCCAGGATGTGCTCCAGTCTCTCCTCCTCCCCCTTCATCTGCTCCCATGTGCTCCCATCAGACATGTCCCTCTCCTAGAGCTGTAGATTCAATGCCATTCTTTGAAATAAATTCTTCTGGGGTGAGGGGCAAGCGTCCACTTAGTATTTGGGACTGGGGGATGGCTCTTTTCTTAAAGGACAAAAGATGTAGCTCCTTGGGCCTGTTTCTTACTCATAGAATCCCAAGAGACAAATGATATTCTTTGTAGTTGTTTTTCTGCCTCCTTCATTCTAAACGGGTGAGTTTTCTGTTTTTGAAGTTTGTTATATCCATAACTCACAAGTATAATCTGTTTGAGAAAAGATCGTGTAGTTACATCCTTGGCGAACGTTTTAGGGCATGTGTGCACAATTGTATAAAACATTTCCCAAATCATTGTTAGTTCTGTTTTAAGTTTTGAGTCAGTCTTTCTTCTCTCACATTTTGTTGTAAGCAACAAGGTGAGATCCTGGGACCCCTTTAAGATATTTTTACAAATGTCATCAGCCAGATAACCATGTTCCTCTTTTACAAATTCTACCTGCTACCAGACATTTGCACATAAACTCTGAGTAGTTCGTTGCCAGTGCATTAAAAAAAAAAACCTCCAATATTGAATCACGGGTTTATGATTTTCATTTAAACTCTTTGCAGAACTACATTTAATGTCTACACTAGCAACATAATGCTGGTGCCATATAGATTCTTTAAGAAGATTGAGAATATCTCAGTGGCTCCCCTTACTTTCTTCTTAGTCTTTAACAAAGGTGTCTATAAGGTCCACAGTTCTAACAACAAATTTCTGAAATCTATCTGTATTTTATTATATTGTTAGGTGCCATCGAGTTCCAACTCATCATCGTGAAATGTTCAACAGAATGAAGCACTGCTCCATTCCTTGCCAGCCTCACAGCTGTCCTGCTTGAACCATATCAGTAAGTGAAGGTCTCAAAATTCATTTCCATTCACTATTTATTTTCTGTTGACTCTGTAGGAAGGCCCTTGTTCCTTTATGCTTCTGTTCCCAGTGAGCTTCATGTGGCTTCTCCAATCTCTGCTTCTCTTGCTTGCGTGTATACAATCTGAACTACCCCTGCCTGTGTTAGGCTGGGTTGTCTAGAGAAATAAAATCAGTAAGACTCTTATCGATATAATGTGGAACTTTGAATCAAGAAGTAATTTCACGTCAAGAAGGCATCCCAGCCCAGTCCATATCCAGACCATGGGTTGATGCCAGCGGGACCAGCGGGAGGCTTTTTCAGCCTCACGTAGCTATATAGAGAAAGAGGAAGCTGCAGCAGAAAGAACAGGCTGGCGAGTGCAGAGTTGTATGGATCCAAGGTTGGTGGAAACAGCAGGGTGCTGACTGCTCCCATGGGACATAACTCACATGGGGATGCCCCTGGAGGCAGACATGGAATCCAAGCAAGCAGAGAGGGAGAGAAAGAGAGAGAGTTTCCAGGGGCCTCTAATGAAAAGGCCACACCACCAAGGATACATTATTAGGTCTTGTACTAAATGATAAGTTGGACTCCACCTGTCCACTTCGTGCAGGTGTAAGTTAACATAAACTGTAACCACCACACGACACAGATAGCTCATTCTCAAGTGCATTTAGAACCCAAGCATGCAAGTTAGGATTCATAGCATGCTTTGGGGGACATCTTTTAACCCATAACTTTTGTGGGTTTTCGTTTCATAAAACCATTCATCCTTTATATTACTCTTAATTGCATATTTAACTTTACCAAAGAAGCACCAAATTTCTTTTCAATTCATGTAAAACTTTGTCGGAATTTTTTTGGGTGCTCTATTTGTTTTTCAGATCTAAAATATTTCAAATATAATAATATAGTAGTCATCATAACAGTGTTTTGATGGAAGTCCCAAAGTAGTACCATTTGTTTTTAGAAGTGTGCATGTACCTTGCAGTTTAAACAATATAAGCTATGCATTGCAAGCACGCAGGGATTGGTTCATGACTATACCTTGTCCATAAGTCAGACATGCACCAGCTGAGACTGCCTGTAGATAAGGAGGCTAGATCTTACAGATGGTAAATACTTGCTTAAGAGGCACAGCCAGATGTGAAATGCTCTATTTTTAATTTTGATTTAATTTTGTTAAACTGTGTTGAACTATAATTCTGAGATCTTTATCTCTCATATTAATATAGCTGCCTCTCCAGGCCTGGGTTTTTCGTTACTAGTGGCATCTAGCTACTCTCTACTTTGTTACTATCATTTGTACAGCATTCCTCTTCTCTCGGGTGTTGATTATCTCATCACAGTTAATCATCAGCAAACTTAGAAGGCTCAGCCTCCTCTTTTTATTAGAAGCACTCCCCCAGAATACCTCCTTGTACAAAGCTGATATGAAAATATGAATCAAGGCCATCCTAGAGTGACAGAAGACAGAAGTAGTTTTGACCCTCTGGTAGTCAGACAATGTATTGGTTTCACTCGATACATACCCTTGACGTCAAAATTATTTAAACATTGTCCTGGGGCTAGCTGAATTAACTTCTATTTTAACTGGTTGCTCCTCAGTGGACAGGGTTCCACGTGCCTTCAGTTAGATGGTCTCTTGTACTGAATTAGCTGACTTCGATCCATTTGCTTCCTTTGGTGATGGAGCAGAAACAATGGATGCTGGAGCTTGTGAGACGTGATTAGATCTCCTGGGAATTAACTGATGCTAAAACAATAACAACAACAAAGCCCAAACAAAGGAGCGCATTGCTGTGCTAAGTTGATGCTATACTGACCCCATGGGGCCGAGTCGAACTGTCCCTTAGGATTTCCAGAGTTGTAGAATTGCATGGCGAACTGACAGTCACATCTTTCTCCTGTGAAATGGCTGACAGGTTCAGCCACCAGAGCTCCTATAAACTAATGCTATTTTGGGGAAAAGATCTTTCTTCTTCTTTTTTTAAATCATTTTATTGGGGGCTCATACAACCAATCCATACATACATCTATCTGTTGTTTAAAGCACATTTGTTACCCTCACCATTCTCTAAACATTTACTCTCCATTTAAGCCCCTGGCATCAGCTCCTCATTTTCCCCCCTCCCTCCCCTCTGCCCCCCTCCCTCACGAGCCCTTGATAATTTATAAATTATTATTTTGTCATATCTCACACTGTCCGACCTCTCCCTTCACCCACTTTTCTGTTGTCCATCCCCCAGGGAGAAGGTTATGTGTAGATCCCTGTAATCGGTTCCCCCTTTCCACTCCACCCTCCTTTCATGCTCCCAGTATTACCACTCACACCACTGGTCCTGAAGGGATCATCCACCCTGGATTCCCTGTGCTTCCAGTTCCTATCTGCACCACAGTGTATATCCTGTGGTCTAGTCGGATTTGTAAGGTAGAACTAGGATCATGATCGTGGGTGGTGGGGAGGGAAGCATTTAGGAACTAGAGGAAAGTTGTATGTTTCATCGATGCTACACTGCACTCTGACTGGCTTGTCTCCTCCCCGTGTTCCCTCCATAAGGGGATGTCCGGTTGTCTACAGATGGGCTTTGGGTCCCCACCCCGCTCTCCCCCTCATTCACAATGATATGTTTTTTTGTTCTTTGATACCTGATACCTCATCCCTTTGACACCTTGTGATCACACAGGCTGGTGTGCTTCTTCCATCTGGGGAGGAAATGATCTTTATATGGAATACTTTTAGTAGAATGTTTCTAGTATAGAATATAAACCCAGAATTTATGGAGCATGAGTAATTTCATATAAACGATGACTGTCTAGATCAGGGGTTGGCAAACTTTTGAGATGGAAGAGCCAATCCTGACCCTCACAACAATTTAAAAATCATTTGAGAGCCATAAGTATTGTTTTACAAACACATGAAATCGCCATATCGAGTAATAAATTTTTTTTAATTTTACATCAGAGCCCTGTGTACATACCAAAAGAACTGCATATGGCTTGAGAGCCACAATTTGCCAACCCTGGCAAAGATTAAAACTGCAGGTATCTAATAACCATAAATATCCCACTGCTGTGTGGCAAATGAGGACTATGAAACATACCAGTGTCAACGATTACGGTGGACCCAGTATGTGTAGAGAGTGATAAATCAACCGTCTTACCTTTCAAGAGAAGATTTGGGGAAAGGTCTTGCAGATGCCATCAGGACTCTGCACAAGGCAGACGTTCGCTCTTGTCTTCAATTAAATAGACTTCTGACTCATAACAACACTCTACAGCAGAATAGGGTTTCCTAACCTGTAATCCTAATGGGAGTTGGTTGCTAGTTTTTTTCCTCTTGTGGAGCTACTGGTGGATTTGAACCTGTGTTTCTTGACACATCCTTCATCTAGATCTATGCACTGCTGAGGGGGAGGTTGACATCTCTCTAACCCTTCTCCTGAGAATTCTGCACCCTTCCATTTGTGCCATGTCACAGTGGTACCTTTCATATTTTTGAGGGACTCAAATTCTGTACCTTTTAAATGTTCAAATTTGGGGAACAAAAAGAAATGTGAAGGGATATGATCAGCCATGTAGAGTGAGTGGGGAAAGTTTTCACAACAAAATTTTTGTAGGATGGCTTTTACTAAACAAGTACATTGTCGTGATTGGAAAAAACTTCCTCGGTTCAATTTTCTGGTCTTTTGCTCTCCTGTCAAGTTTTCTGAAAATGTCGTAACATAACCCCATGATCATCCTGCTTGAAGAAATTTATTGAGATTACTTCTTTTGAATCCCTCCAAATATTCCTTCTGAACTGGCTTCTCTGCCTTGACTTTCACTGGCCCAGAAGATCCCCTTGGGAATATCACTGTTTTGATTGGACCATTTAAAAAAAATAGCCTAAGAAGAACAAGACAAGTGTATCTCTAAGAGAACTTGGTTGTGGCTGTCCATTGGGTGCAGAGATGAGGTTCATTATGATTTGTTCGGAATAAACAAGGGCATGGATGGACTGGGACTCTAGTAGCAATACTTCTCAGCTTACACCTCGTATATACAGACAGGCATATAACTCAGAGGGAAATATCTTTTTAACTAAAGCAGAAATAAAGTGAAGGTTAAAATAAGATTTTCCCTGGAAGTAAGACTTCCAACATAAGAGAATGTTGGAACTATAGTATGCTTCCATATAGCGTGATGGAAAGACACATATAGTTCCAGGAGCTAACAACACTTGTAGAAGAAAAGAATGTGCCTTGTAAGGGAATGTCAATGAATAACAATTCCTAAAGACTTCATTTCCCTAAAATATTGACAATGTGGATTTGACATGCAACAAAAAGGAATGTGACCAATATGTTATTGAAGAGAAGGCTGTATCTTTTGGAGCTTCGGGTTTATGAACATGCTCAGAAATGTATATCCAGTTTAAAGAAAGTTAAATTTTAAAAAAATTTTGCATTTGCTTTGCTTTCTATAAACATTGTCCTTAAAAAACATATATAAAATAACAGTTACAAAACTGCCGTGAGTCTATTATTTTAAAAAGTCAAGTTGTAAGTTATATGCCAAAAATACTTTATCGGCAACTTCCACCCTATTTGTCATAAATCACAAAGTTGTTAGAGAATGCTCAGTGAGAAGACTTAACAATTATGAGCTGCAAGATAAGAGAAAGGAATCGATTGTTGTCGCAAGATAATGGCCGCTGGCAGTGAGATAAACGTCAAGGCAAAGTCATGGCAATGTCTCGCTATTTATCAAAAGTAAACAGAGAAGAGAAGTAGGATGCATTTATCAAGTAGATGTGCTTGTCCAAAAGTTTTCTTTTTCTCGCTCCTCTGTGATTTAGGTCCCATCACTTCACACGGCAGATGTTCGTACAGCTGAATGATTAGGGTCACTGTCACCTTATTTAGCGTTATCAAGCCTTGATTTTGAGTGATTATTTTGTTTAGTCTTCTAAATGCCTTATATGAAGAAAATAATTAAGAAATGTTTACCAC